GCTGTTTTTTTTTTTTTTTTGTTTTCTGCCCATTGGATTAGGCTGCTGTATAAGTTTTTGTCAGGTGCTGTATAAAATTTTTCTTTCACCAAAAAAAAAGTTGGCTCGCTTCTCTCTATTCTCACTACTGCTTATTACGTAAAGATTAAGGAAACAAAATTACTAAAATGAGATTTATTAAGGATTGTATAATTTAAACAAGCATATTCGATATGGACCAATTAAGAAGTAAAATCTACTTGTTGTATACTGTATTGTATGTACTTTTTTGGGGAGAAATTCAAAAATAGTTAGATTAACGAGTGATAATTGAAAAATAGTCATAATTTCAAAAGTAATCAAAATTTAACCATTTTTCATGTAAAGACAAATCTGAACGAAAACATTGTTCAAAATTCGGAAAATATTCCAGCATATTATACTGGAGTTCCAGTATAATATACCGGTCCAGCATAATATGCTGGAAGTTCATACACAAGTGCTTCAATCTCCAGTATATTATGCTGGACCAGTCCGTGTTGCAGCAAAATAGTGGTTATTTTTCAATGACTTTGCAAACGCTGACTATTTTTGAATTACCAGTCTGAAAACTGGCTAGTCCGTGCTATTTTTACTACTTTTTTGAGATACTAATAAACTAGTAGGAGTCCGCACATCCCCCGCCATCATAGGGCGAGTTTAGTTATAAACAAAAAAATTCAACCTAAAACTAAATCAAACAAACAAATGCCCTAATTTTTGTCCACAGGCATCTTAAGGCGACACAAAGGACAAACATGGCTTTTCTCAAGCCATTGAACGATACAGCCTCCATGAAAAAGGTGCTTGCATGGCATGCGAGTAACTTCAACAACACCCTCTGAAATCAACGTATCAAAACATATGCTACAATTCTCCTTCATATTGATCATCTTTTCCACCTTCACCTTCTCCAGTGCTTCAATTGCATACGCCGATGCAGGAACGGGCACAAACTCACTCTCTTCCAACGATAAGCCCGCGACCTGTTCTGTCAACTCATCCTCATAATAATTTTGGTAAGGATTCGGAATAGCTTGAGGAATACCATGAATTATGTCCAAAACGATTGGGATTCTTCTCGCTCTTTCATGATTTTCTTGGAGGATTGATAATGTCTTAAGCTTGATGTCTTGTATCATGTTTAGTTGATACAAGAGAGGAACATGTAAACATGTAAGCATTACATGTATATTATTCCATATATCTAATTTGTCCTCTATGTCAAAACAGAATTTTTTGACTATATGATAGTTGAAATGAGTGCGATTATAAAACCTCCAACGACCATCAGCTGCGAGATAGAAATTGTGGTGCAATTTTTGGATTCGACATAGGAAGAAAAATTTGTCCTCCGGCAGATTTTCATCCTCGTGGAGGATGCTTTTTCGGTGCTCTATTGTCCAATGATAAGGGCTAATAGTACTATGGCTCAATTCTCCTGCCATTCAGAATTAGTAATTATTGGAAAAAGAGCAAAGGCGGAATTGAAAATTGAAATTTTTGAGTTTGGGATTTTAATTCTTTTTGGTCAGTAATTAATGAGAAAGATTGGCTTAGTAACTAACGGGAAAAGAAACAAACTGTGGGACAGAGCTTGCTAGCTATATTTGGCTCTTAGATGAAAGAGATATGTGAAGCTAGACATTATATATAATGATGGAAAAATTTAAAAACCTAATTACGATTGGTAAAGGAAAAAGAAAAGGAAAGCAATTTCAGTTTCCTAGTTATTAAGGGAAAAAGAAAACGAAATCCTAATTTGTGATGGACTGAAAATCTACAGCGGAAGTGGTAAAGCATTAAATAAACTTCCATTGTCTAAATTTAAAAACCTAATTACGGCCGGTAAGGGCAAGAGAAAAGGAAAGCACAACTCTTTTTCCTAATTAGTGATGGATATCTCTATGTGTTTTTAATAAAATTTTGTCGCAAAATAATCGATTTTTATTTTCTAAATGTCCTTAATTAATATTTGACTAAATAGAGAATATTATTTTTTTCAAATAAGTACAAAGCTATTAAAAATTTATAAACATATAATAACAAACTGCGTTTCAATTTGTGGACAATTGAAACTTCTGTGTTCTCAGCTTTTAAATTCCTTGTAATTTATTTTCATTGTCAATCAAACCTGCTGATAAAGCGAAGTCAACTAATTCTCTACTAAGTCGACTGAGTTTTTAAATTAGTTACAATTCATCCCCCTTCTTGTACTCTCAATTGGTATCAGAGCAAAACTCACGAACATTGCTTAACAGCAAGTGAGAAAAAGATCATGGGATCAAATACAGTAATTGAAACACTATTTCAAAAAGGAACTTCTCAGGTACGACCCTTTTACTTCAATGGTCAGCACTTCTCTCATTGGAAAGTGTGCGTGGAGACCTACACTATGTCATATGAATTAAAGTTTGGCGCGTGATCAAAAAGGAAAATCTTACAATTTTGCAAATGAAGGATGACAACGGTCAAATCATAGTATCATCTGATCCTCTTGATTTAGATGATTACACTGAAGAACAATCAGCCATTATTCAAGTGAATGCTAAGGCAAAACAATATGTTGTACTGTGCTATCAGCGGAGAAGAATATGAAAAAGATATCAAGCTGTGAAACTGCAAAAAAAATATGAGATAAGTTAGAAGTGACATATGAAAGAACCAATAAAGTAAAAGAAACAAGGATCAATCTCCTAGTTCGAGATTATGAACTGTTTCAAATATGAAGGATGGAGAATCAGTAGAGGAAATGTTTTTCAGGTTCAGCAAGATCCCTCGAGACTTAAAATCATTTGGTAAACCAATCAAAAGCGGAGAATAAGTCAGAAAAATTATGAGAAGTCTTCCCACTATTTGGCAACCCAAAGTCATTGCTTTGGAATGTTAGGATGTTGACAAAATATCATATGATGAACTTAGAGGTGATCTAATTGCGTTTGAGAAAACATACTTAGACAGAAAAGTTCAACAAGAAAAGAAGAAGACCGTTGCATTCAAAATAATTGTGGTTGAAGAAGAAGATGATAATGATGATGATGATGAAGAAGAAGAAGAAGAAGAAGAAGAAGAAGAAGGAGGAGGAGGAGGANAGAAGAAATCCCTTGGAGCTTGGAGTGATGAAGAAAAATCTGATCACGAAGAAATTGCCAACATGTGCTTCATGGCCATCAAAGAAGATAGCGATGAAGACTCAGGTGAACTTGGTCTCATGGAAGACAAAGGAACAAGTGAGATACGTCTTCCTACCCATCCTAACTGTCATGAACTCCAAGAATTTATTAATATTGCTCTTGTAGATATTGAGAAAGTACTGAATGAACTTCGAAAAATCCAAACAGAAAAGAAAGACTGAGCTTTGAAGTATGTAAAATTGAGAGAGATAAGCTTCAAGATGAAGTTAATGAACTTCAACTTCAACTGAATGGATTGCGAAAATCCACCAGTCATAGTTCAGTTAGATCAAATCAGTTTACTCCTCATAAATCTCCAACTAGAACTTGAAATATTTCTGCATGTACTCATTGTGGCAAAAATGGGCATAATTCTAACCATTGCAGGATTACAATCTAAGGAGAAAAAGTCTCTGAAAATTCTAATAACCCCTCATATTTTTACTGCGGAAAACTCGATCATACTTCTAACTATTGCAGGTTTAAGAACAACAGGAGATGGGTCTGGTAACCCAAGCCATCTAGTCAATCTAATATTCAGAGCACTAATCATTCAGGGCCCAAGCAGGCTTGGGTACCTAAAAATAAGTAATTTCTCTTTTTTGCAAGAACATCGCAAGAAGAATAAAAAAAGAAAATGGTACCTTGATAGCGCGTATTCTAGACATATAACTGGTGACAAGACAGTCACCAAACTAGATGGAGGAACAGTCACTTTTGGAGACAAATCAAAAGGGAATGTAATTGGAGTTGGAAGAGTTCCCCTCAGCTTAACATATGATATAGACGAAGTGTACCTGGTTGATAAACTTGGTTACAACCTTCTCAGTATCAGTCAACTATGTGACAATGACTATGAGGTTCATTTTAAAAAGCATAGTTGGTTTATTAAAGACGAATCTGGTAAAGTTATTCTTTCTGGAAATAGAGACAGGAATGTCTATACTATAAGTAACATAGATAGTCTTGGTAATCAATTTTGTCTAGCCTCTATGATTGATGATCCCTGGTTATGGCATAGAAAGCTTGGCCATGCTAGCATGCATACTATTCAAAAACTTTTCAAATGTGATCTTGTTATTGGTCGTCCAAAATTAGATTTTTCAAAAGATTAAATTTGTGATGCATGTCAATTAGGAAAACAATCTTTTAAAATCAAAAATATTGTTTCTACTACTAAACCTCTTCAACTCTTGCATATGGATTTATTTGGTACAACTATAATTGCTAGTATTGGTGGTAGAAAATATGATTTTGTTATTGTAGATGATTTTTATCGTTTCACTTGGGTTATTTTTTTGAGCCATAAAGATGAAGCTCTAAGGAATTTTGAAGTCTTCTGTAAGAAGGTATATCATGAAAAGGGATATTACATCTCTACTATAAGAAGTGACCATGGATGAGAGTTCGAAAACAGAGCCTTTGAAAACTTATGTAATGATCAAGGAATCTCTCACAACTTCTCTTCTCCAAGATCACCTTAACAAAATAGAGTGATAGAACGTAAGAACATAACTTTGCAGGGCATGGCAAGAACCATGATTGTGAAAAACTCCCTCTCACACCACTTCTGGGCATAAGCTGTAAGCACAACATGTCATATCATTAACAGATGTCTGATTCGACTCATTCTTAAAAGGACTCCATATGAGCTGTGGAATGGTAAGAAACCCAACATCAGTTACTTTCACCCATTTGGCTGCAAATGATTATTCACAATAATGGAAAATATAATTTGGGCAAGTTTGATCCAAAAAGCGACGAAGGTATTTTTCTTGGATATTCTCCCTCAAGTAGAGGATATAGATTATTCAATAAAAGAACTTTATGTATTGAGGAATCTATTCATGTTGTTCTTGTGGATACTAACCCTCACTTAAGGAATAAAAACTTTTCTGAAGATGAGAAAATCTCTATTGTCCCAAAATCTGCTGTTACAGAAAAAGATAGTTACGATCAGGCGACCAATTAGCAAAATCAGTCAACTGAGGAGCACATTGAAATCCAGGAACCATCTTCTGTCGAACAGTCAAATACTTTGGAAAAGGAGCCAGTCACAGGTGTTCCAAATGAATGAAAAAGTGAACCTGAATATTTTCACAAGTTCATTATTGGAAATCCACAAGAAGGAATCACTATCAGAAGATCTCAAAAGCTCAACTCTCACATGGCCTTAATATCACAACTTGAGCCAAAAAAGGTTGATGGAGCTCTCAAAGATGACTACTGGTTCAAAGCCATGAAAGATGAACTCGATCAATTTGAAAGAAATAAAGTGTGGGACTTGGTACCAAAACCATCAAATCCTTCCATCATATGAACCAAATGGGTTTTCAGAAACAAGCTGAATGAATCTGGTCAAATAGTTTATAACAAAGCAAGGCTAGTCGCCCAAGGTTACTCTCAGCAAGAAGGAATCGACTACGATGAAACATTTACTCCTATAACAAGATTAGAATCCATTCAAATACTACATGCTTTTGCTACTCATAAAGGATTCAGGCTATTTCAAATGGATGTAAAAAGCTCATTCTTAAATGGATATATCTCTTAAGAAGTATACGTGAAACAACCTCCTAGCTTTGTAAGGAACAACTTCTCAAACCATGTATTCAAGCTGTCAATAGCTTTATACGAACTCATGCAAGACCCTCGAGCCTGGCATGAAAGACTAAGCTATTTTCTTCTAAATTAAGGTTTCAAACGAGGTAATATCGATATCGACACAACTCTATTTATTAAGCATTCAAGTTTAGGTAATCTTATTACTCAAATTTATGCAGACGATACTATTTTGGGAGCTCTAACTCTGTATTATGTGAAGAATTTGCTCATATCATGAAAGGAGAATTCGAAATGAGCATGATGGGAGAGCTAACTTTCTTTCTTGGATTACAAATCAAGCAATCTTCCAAAGGGATTTTTATTAGCTAAACCAAGTACACTAAGGAACTCATAAAAAAGTTTGG